TCTCATTCCTTTGAAGGCAAAAAAATTTCCATGCCTTCTGGCCATAATCATGCATTGTGATCTGAATTAATCGGCAAAAATAAATATATCCCATCTCTTGCCAGATTAACTACACACAAAGCAGCCATGTATTTACTGAACTGACTTCAATATTTAGGAAATTCTTTTTCTGTAATAGTCAGCATCATCTAAAAGTGTACTCACGAGAGTGCTCAAAACGTAATTAACCCCCCCTTCTCTAGTGAAGAATCCTGAAATTGGTGCAACCAGCCCAAATAGGGTGGTAAGTAAAATCTGTCCTATCAAAATGTAGTGCTACCTCCTGAGGAGCAGTGAAGTGACTCCATGAAAACTAGCAATTTGAACGAGATGTAAATTTACATGAGCAAAACCTGCAGAAAAATGAATCTATAATTACAAGGGAAAGAATATGAAGAACAACCAAGGCAGGTGACAGTAGGAAAGAGAAGGTTCAATTTCATCTAACAGTGACAGGAGTGCCATAAAAGAGCAAGATAAAAAAAGTATAAAAGCTATTCATGGGAAAGAAAATAATGGGAAATGACTGGAAGATGGGGAAAGTCAACACAAATCCTGGATATTCTAGTCAGTCCAGAAATGAAAGAGATTTTACAAAGTCTTCTATTTCATCCTCTACTCTGGTACATTTTCTGGAAGATTTCTGGAAGAAGGGGAAAAAAAAGGGGGGAAAGTAAGATATAAGAAATGGGAAGCTGGAATTCAGAAAGAGCAGCTGTCAGGACTTGATTGTATTGCATTTATCTCACCATTTAGCTTCCTATTACAGTTAGCATCCTTATCTTCAGCAATCCTGACATATTAGTCATGACTGAAAATACAAATCTCTTACAGTGTATTACCTTAACAGTTATACTGGAGGTGCAAAATACAGTAAAAATTTCCTTGTTTCATTCTTAGCAAGAGTAAGAAAAATTCTTCTGTCACTCTTTACCAGAGTTTTATTTAATGTGACGTATCTCCACTGACACGGAAGGAAATACTTTGGACCCAGACTGAGTGGAAGATAAGGCTAAGGTTCATTGTGGTGCCAGAAAAATGCATCAGAGGGAAACTTCTTGTCTCAAGTGGACACATAAGAAGAGTCAACTGAATACTGCAGGAGTGGTGCAGATACAAATAGGGAACACAACATGAAGAACAATGCCAAAAGCTCTAGTATGAGTCCTGCAACTGGTCAAGACAGCAATCTTCAAAGCTGGTACTGTGCAGAGATAGAATAAGTGGCAATGGCTTTAAGCTAAAAGACGGTAGGTTTAGGTTAGATATTAGAAGAAATACTTTACTGTGAGGCTGGTGAAACACTGGAACAGGCTGCCAAGAGAAGCTGTGAATGCCCCCCATCCCTGGAAGTGTTCAAGGCAGGTTGAATGGGACTCTGAGCAACCTGGTCTAGTGTCAGGTGTCCCGGCCCATGACAGTGGAGTTGGAATGAGATGATCCCTTTCAACCCAAACCACTCTGTGATTCTACCACATTACTACTCTACATTTCTAACTGCAGTAACTGCCCTTTGCCATCCACTACTCTGCACATACACCAGAGTACAGCAATACAAGTTCTGCATGTAAACATCACTGATGTTTCACACAGTCTACCTGACTTCCAGGATCACTTCAATCCAGCAGACAAATCATTTCGAAGTAGGTGTTCTACTGTGTGCCTGTATTTGTTAGTACTGTAAGGCCCTGTGAGATAGGGAAGGATGTTGAAGCACAGAAAATAAAGGTCCTACTTAAAGAAGAGCTCCTACATCCAGTTTAATATAGAGGCTTTCCCCATTTGCTAGACTCCAGCAGAAGCTTTCCTGTGCTCAGACATAAAGGCATGGAGATAGACCTACAAACTGCTGGCTTCTTTGGGAGACAGAGATGCCCATAGTGAAAGGGGAGGATGCTCTGCCCTTTGCAAGTCTCCCTAAAGAGCAGAGAAGAATTGATCCTGTAAGTTCTTATTTTAGGCTTTAGCCTGCTGGGCCACTTATGACCAATGCATGTCTGTTATACCATATTATGGTCAAAAAAGTAACCAATCAAGACATCCAGAGAAGCTTAGCTCTGCTTTCCCTACTGAAATAATGGCAGATGTAGAAACTAAGGTAGCACATTTTAAACTTGTGTCTTTCTATCTTTTAGCTTCTGTTGCATGATCACAGAGTAAATCCTAATTTCTGCTGATGCTACTGATTGTCCTAAAATTCACCTTCATAAGCTAAAAAAAAATGTTAATTTATTAAAGCATTATGGACTTGGTAAAGCTTTATAAAACTCATGCCTATTAGTAATAATAAAATTCTTGGTGTTGAAGTCTACAGTTATTTTTGAAACTGAGAAATGGGGAAAATCCTGCAACACCAGCACAAATTACAGTTTTCCTTTGTCATTTAAAACAAACAAACCCACAACAGTATCGTCCTTTTAAATGCATGATTCTCAAGCAATCATGCCATGAAACACACAGTCAAATTATTTCTGTATGCACACAGTAGAGCTGCCCTACCCTGCACCAAATGATACATTAAATTTGTTCACTGTTTAACAAGGGAAACTCAATGTTGCTGTTAATGATTTACATAGAGACAAAACAGCTCTGCCTAAATTTTGTTAAAAATTGTGAAGCTGCGGTCATTTTAACCTCTCTTTCATAACTGCAGGCTAACCCAATCAATAAACTGGAACCACGTATGGCATTTCTTCTGCCATGAAAGGAAGGTATTTCTGTCTCAACGGCCTGAACAGCCAGAGGTCCCCAGGCACACTCCATAGATGCAGTTCACGTCTGGATTAATAGGGGAACCAAAACAGACAGGCAAAGCTGTCCTCTTGCCACACTTGCCTGACCCTAGCAGATTTCATCATTGAGGAAGTACAGTCTGATTAGGGCCCAAATATCCACTGATATCCAATATGTATGTTAGCAACTCAGGGATTTATGAACCATTCAGCGAAGCCCCGTGTAACAGCAGTGACACATCCAGGCTGGGAAACTCTGACTTGCAAGAAAGGGCAACAAGAAGTATTTCAAGGCTGAAATTCAGAGCTCAGATAAAACAGGCAGTCCCCCCTCTGTGCACATGACAGTGCTGCCATCAGCTTCCACAGGAGCAGATTAGCACCCACACATTCTGTTATACAATATCACAGATGCATCTGCACCTTACGATTGATCTCCTTGAGCCATGTCACAAGCAATCTGAAGTTAATGCAGTTACTGTAATTTCTGTTCCTGTATGTGATATCCAAGTCTGGCTGTGGATAAATTTCCAGATGAAACTGGTTCCAAAGGATTCAGAAGTTTTTTCAGAAATGCCCCCAGACTCCAGTGTTCATCTCTGAGATGCACTAATGACATGTTCTCAAACTCCTTACTGAAACTTTGGATACTTACGAATCGACACAAATTTTTAAACAGCACTGCCTCTGAGTCACTCTTCAAAGCACATATGTAAACACCAGGGATCTCCTCTCCATCTGAATTTTAGAAAGCAGCTATACTATTAACAATAGTTAATATTAAATACACTGAGGGGCAGGCACCTTCTATGTACTGCTTTTCCTAGAAGCCTAAAAGGTCATGATCAAACAGGTTCATTTTCAACTAGAATTAAGCATTTTATTTACAAATAGAGAAGCAAGCTATGTCACGCTCTGCAAGTCAAAGAAATGTGGCACACACTGTTTCATTACCACAGCGCTATCAATGGCATTTTCAACCACTGCTCCCTGTATTACTTTCTGTATTAGGCATTACAAGGTTCCCTGTTAAACCCAAACTAAGGAAACAAAACTACTGTAGCCCACTAGCGCATACTTGAAAGCTGTTTCCTATTTCGTTGAAAATAAATTTATGACATAAACATTAGAACTAAAAATAAAAACACAGCTGAAGCAATCACAGTCTCTTTCAGTCCGTACAGGCAGTGTGAAGTAGAGCAGTAAATTGCTGCAAGCAGACAGCTCAGCTCTTAAAACTTGCCCAGCTTCTACTCTGACAAAAGAGATCACTTAGGACCTCAGCATGCTGTTGCTCTCGTCTCGTTTAATTAACGGACTAATAAATTCACTACTGGCACATTCTTTATTTGTCTCTTCTCTTGAGAAACCCCAAACCCACCCGTGGTTTACACTAGGACTGACTGCTATTTAGCAAGAGTGCTGCGAGAGCGGTGCCTGTCACCAAAGGCAGGAGGAACTGGGAGCAGAGTCCGCAGGTGCCCTGTGTCCGGCCGGCACTGCGGTCACCCACCAACCTCGGACAAGTTTCGGCGTTTTTAATTCGAAGTTGGGCAGCGCTTTTCCTTCCTCTGCCACGGCCGTGCGGTGGGGCCGAGGGACCCACAGCTGGGACGGCTGAATAAACCTTTCAAAGGCTTTTGGCAGCTGCATCCTGGCCGCTCGGGCGAGAACCTCTGCGGCCGCGGGGGCTGCCCCAGACCCTCAGCCGGGCGGGTCCGCCCCAGACACGCCGCGGCCCCGGCTCCCTCCCGGCCGGTTGCCCGGCTTCCAGACCCGGCGGCCCGGGTCAGGAGCTGCAGGCGGCGGCTGCCTGCTGTCCCGATCAGCCTCTGCAGGAATAACCCCGAACCCAATCCGCTCTCCGTTCTCGCAGCCGGAGGGGCAGCGCCGGCAGCCGGGCCGGGGCGCCCCTCCCGCAGGGTAAAGGCGAAATAGGCACTTTCTCCCCCTCCTGACCTTTCTGCACCCCAGCTCACCGCTCGCCGCCCCCTGCTCCCCGCCGTGCCCCCTCTCCCCCCGGACTGCACTCAGAGCGAGCCGAACGCCGACACCTGCACGCCGGCTCCCTCTCGCCGCCCCGAGAGGGAAGGGAGGCAGGCGGGAGGGAGGGAACACACCGAGGCCCTCCGGCAAGCACGGCCGCTGTCGCCGTTCGGAGCCGCTCCCCCGTGCAGGCGAGCGGTGGCCGGCCGGGCCCGGCTCCCAGCGGGAGGGAGGGAGGCTTACCCGGTGGGAGGCTTGCTGGCCCCGGGGCGCACGAGGGTCTCCATGGCCGGGCCCCCCTCACCACTTCTTAGGGGACGGGCCGGTCCAAGACGCGATCCCGCAGCGGGGCAGCGGCGAAGGTCGGAGGCGGGGGTACCGAGAGGGAGGGAAGAGAGGAGAGCAGAGGAGTGAGAGCCGCCCTCGCCCCCTCCCTCGCCCCCACCTCCCCCGCTCCCCGCCCCGCCGCCGGGTGGCACTGCCCGGGCCGCCGCCGCCCACGGCTGCCCAGCCCGGCCAAGGGCGGGGATGCCCTGCCGGGGCGGCCCCCGCCCGCCTTACCGGGCCGGCAGGGAAGCTGAGTCGCGCCCCGGGCACTGACAGCTCGGCTGCCCGGCCAGACCGCGGCCGGGCACGGCGGGGCTAGGCTGGCCGCTGCCCTGGCAGCCCAGGGGTGCGGGGGCGCTGCGAGCCGGTTTCCATGTGACTGGCCAGCAAAAACGCAAACACGGGCGCTGCCTCCGTGGGCACTGCCAGGGCGGCCGCCCCCGCCGCCCCCGCGGCGTGGGAGAAGAGGGGATGGGGCGACCGGTGGGGGAGAGGAGCGACAAACGCCGCCCTCAGCGCCAGCTCCGAGAACCCTCCGCCGCCTCATTTGCTGCGAACTTGGCAAACCCGGCCCTTGCCAGGCGGCTGTGCCCGAGGCTGCGCCCCACGGGGAGCAGAGGCTTTTCCTCAGCCTCACGCCCTGCACAGACCCTAGCTGCTATCTCCGACATGTTTCTCGTCACCCCTGTCCTTACAGATGTTTTTTTCTTCTTTCGGAGGCGGCACAAACAACTACTTCAAAAATACCAGCGGCTTTGGTCAAGGAGAGGGGCTGGAGGGCTCTGACGGGGCAGGCATGGAAAACAGGCTTCTCCCGGGTTTTCCCTCCAGCCATACGAGCCCGTCGTGGGGTAGGCAGCCCCATAGCCCGGGCGGTGCGGGACGCCCGCCGGCACAGCCTTCGCGGCGACGCTGGCACCGCTCTAAAAATCTGTGCGAGTGTTGTTTCAGGAGTATCCTCCTCACGCCGGTTTCCCAGAATATCAGCTGTTACACTTGCATGTGAAAGGAGAACAAGGCTGGAGGCGGGGGAGCCTGGCTGGTATTACTGCGGTACGTGCCCGCTGTCCGTCGTGCCCAGCGTTGGGCAGCCTGGCCTCTCAGGTGTGTCAGGAGTTTCTCTCATCTCCAGCCAGCCATTTGCGTTACATTGCCTTCCTGGCCGTGGTGGGAGAATGGCAGAGATGGCAGATGGGTCGGGCTACCAGGCAACACAGGGACCAGGAGATAGGAGCAAGCAGGCTGAGTGACCTGACGGTTAAAAATTTGGGTGAGGAACTGAGATGGGAATGGCAGGTGCTGCCTGACTTGCCTTTTCTCGTGACTACCTTTGTGATAGTCCCACAGGTTCTGCTTGATGGTCACTCCTTTCCCCAAACACTTCAAGCTTGAGCTCATGTATCTGCCTGTTCTGCTCATCGGAAAGTGTCTTGCCTAGTTCAGTAACCAGACAAAGTAAATGCAAGTACCTTCTTTGGCTCTGAAAGTGAGAGTTTCTTCCTCAGCAAGCAAGACTTGGCAGATTGGTGTCAAAAGCTGCATGTGGCTGATGGCATTGCTATCTGGAGAAACCCCTGTTCCAGACCGATTGTAAATACTTTGAAACATTCAAACATTGGATTAATTTGCCAGTAACAGAAAGGAAAAGGACGTGTTCATCTTTTCTGTACTATTAATGGAAGATCATTGTAAATCCATGCTTGTCTACCAAGGCTTTTATGTTATGATCAAGATTCCTGTTTCTGTGTATTTACCCCAGTATGTGACAGACAGGGAAGTACTACTAGTACAGCCATTCTTAAGTTTGTCTTTTCTTGCTTTGGCAACCTGAAGTCTTCCCTTAATTCCCATCTCCTCAGCAGAGAGTTGAAAATGCTGACTTCTGTTCCCTCCTCTCCATCCCTATGTATATAGCTGGCCTAAGGGCAAGGGAGGCAGCTGGCTGTCCTAGCTGTAGGTAGAGAAACAAAAATATGAATTTAGAGAAGCAAAACATGGATCTCTAATTTCCCTGTTACCATGGGTAGAAGTTGACTGAGTTGCCACAGTTCAATAATTACCCCAGTCATCTGAGCCACATGCCATGGTAATGAGCCACATGCATGATCTTAATCTGAGCCCTTATGAAAATAAATAGGCTAGGTTACATACTTTATTTTGCGAGTGGATCGGTTCAGCAACTGTGCCCTGTCAGTTACCATAGCTCCAGGAATGAATGGTGATCTATTAAATAGTGGGAACTTGATTTCATAGCTCTATTCATCATTTATTCAGTCATTTTTCATCTTGCCTTTTCACTTGGAAATCTTAATGAACTCTTCCCAATCCTAAAATAGATGCTAAGGCTGCACAAGCACAAAACCTCTGCAGAACCCTCCAAACCTTTTCCTATCTGCATCATTAGCAAATTACGCTGCACCAGTTATTTCAACAACCTGAAAGAACTTCTCTTGCCTCAGCTGTAACTTTTACGCTACCATGATATACGTGAGCAGAGATGTAAAGCACAGAATAACAAAATAGTATTTGCTTATTATGCTCATTTCTTTTTGTGTAGCACAGCAAAAGAGTGAAAGCCTATTAATTACTGAACTCACAGTCTTGTACTCTGAAGCGCCAGCAGAAGTAACTGCCCAATTCTCCTGTTCTTCAGTCCCATTTGGCTGATGGGAAATCTGGATAAAATGTGGGGAGTATGCTCTGTGATATGGCATGGGAATTTGCCTTTCTTCAGGCTCTTTGGCACTGGGCCTGCCTCTTAAAAAAAAGGGCAAAGGGGGTATTTCTAGCATGCATTGTAATCCCCACAATCACAGTGCTGTGCTCATTTTTTAGGCAAAGATCACTAGTTTGGAGAGGGGCTGCATGAGTATTTGCGAATCTCATAAAATGTCTGTGAGACTGGCATGTTAAACCCCACCCCCAGACTACTTTTAACCTTTTCATTTCTGTATAGCTTCATCTCTGTTTAGATGGGCCTCCTCAATGTATTTCCTAAGAAAATTTAGACATTTAGGTGACAAAATCTTTGATGAAAAATAGTTTAGGCCTTTAAAATAAATTATTCACCAGAACAATTTCACATTATTGCTTCTGTACAGTACTTAAAACATTATTCCTATTTTTCCTAACCTTCACTGCTAGTAGTATTACTGAATCAAACCTTTAAGGCTACATTTTTCTTCTGCTCAAACTGGCCTGTAATGTTTCAGGAATTTGAGTTTATAGTATAAACGTAACTGAACACGTAAGGAATCTAGTAAGACAAGTCTAATACCAAAGACTTTGTTTATAAGGTAGCAAAAAGAGGTTAAAATTAGCTCAGCATTAGCTAACATGCACCAGTTAACCAAGCTTTTTCTCTAGTCTAGCACATAATCTTTTCCTATGATTCCGCTGTCTGAGGACCATCTTAAAATCAGAAACCAGGTTTGAGCTTAAAGGCCAAAGCAAAAATAACAGACTCTAATTTATAGCAAGAAAAAATTGTGAATAGAAGTTAGTTAATGCAGTTAGGTTTAGTAAATAGCAAACACAGATCTTTAACCATATAAATCCTTTTCTCATTCTCAGCAATCTAGAATTTCCATTTTAAGCATTAGTCCCCGTAAGAGGTTGACTTATTGTACAATTGTAAAATTCCTGGCTGTGTAATTAGAGCAATTGGAGCTGTGTAGCCTCAAGCTCACAAAGTTCTGTTACTTTGCTATCCACAGTGAAAAAAAAAAAAA